CCAGAAGGTTTTTCCAAGCCGCCATGCCTGGGACTCAAACCGCCCAGCCAGCCATGTGGGATACAGCCACTTTAAACACCATGCCACTTGTCTGACCCACCTTGTTTTTCTCTTCTTTTCTTTTTTTTGGTTTCCATTTGCGTGGAATTATTTTTCCAAACTTTCACTTTCAATCTGTGTTATGTTTTTATAAATGAAGTGTATTTCTTTTAAGCAGCTTATTATGTTGCTTTATTTATCCGTTCAGCCAGTCTACATCTTTTGGTTGGGGAAGTTTAGCCATTTACATTCAATGTTAATACATAGCTGCTATTTAGTTGTAACCTGGTTGCTTTGTGTTTCCTTAGTTCCTTTTTCTTTCTGTTATTTTAAGCAACAAGGAAAGTCAGTAAAAGGCTGCACTCCAGAGAGAGGGGAAACTCTTTAATACGCCAGTGGGTGGGTGTGGAGGAGTTAACACTCAGAATCTCCAGCCCCACTTGGGGGTCGAGCACAGTCTTTTATCAGGAAGTTTGGGGAGGGGCGGTTTCCAGCAGGCTATCAGGAAGAAGCAGCCCATCTGGAAGATGCAGCCCAGAGTTTGTTCTCAGGAAGAAAAGGTCAGATAAGCAGGGTGTTTGGCTTCTCAAGGCCTTAGATTGTTTTATCACTTCAGAGGGGGAGAGGCAGAGGCAGAGGCAGTGAATTCACAGAGGCACAGAGGCCTGGAATAGCCATGGTCAGCCTTGGGCTATTGTGAGTTCCGGGCCTAGCCTTGGGCTATTTGTGAGCTCTGGACTCAGACACATCATTCAATCTCTGGTCAAATAAAAATAATAATAATAATAATGAATAAAATAAATACATCTTTAAAAACAAACAAACAAAAAGGACACACATTTTGTTTGCACCTGTTTCCAATAGGATAAATTCCTAGGAAGGAGCTTAGTAGATCAAAGACTATGAAGTCTTGCTCGGCATTTGCTGGAAGAAGTATATCATGATAAGAAGAGCATTCACTTGGGCCTCTACAGGGTTCCCGAACTTTAAGGTCTCGGGTTCTTATCGAGTTAATATCCTGGTACATTGCACTGTACAGTGACCTTTCTAAAAGCATGGACCTGTACACTTCCTTGAGCAGTGAGCCACCACACCACCCTCCCTGCAGCCCTGCCAGGGGATCTCACTTTCTTCCCCAGTCTCATTCATTTAATTTGTATGTTTTCTGTTACTTACATTTGGACCTTCACTTCACGTTGATCATTTGCATCCATTTGTCTATGAGTTCTTCTTTTATTCCCTTGCTCATTTCTGTCACCTTTTCTGTTGATGCAGTGAGTGTGTTAGTTCCTTTTAAGATGTGTTTGGGAACCAGCAGTTAGCGTAATGGCTATGTCGCTGGACTCCCACATCGTCGACCGCGGTTCGCCTCTCGGACCCAGTGGCTTAAAACCCACGCCGGGCACGTGTGCGTGTGTGCCCAAGATCCCGAGAGGAGAATGGAGGAGAAAGGATTGCGGCGTGACCATCCGCTCTGGGGGGTGATTTCTCGCTTTGTCTGTCGTGCAAGCTCAGGGGCCCCGTAGTGAAAAACCTCTAAAAAAAAAAAAAAAGATGTGTTACACATTTTCCTCCTTATATTTTGCCAGAGGGGCACATGTACTTGCTGGAGAGAGACATTGGTACAGTGGGGTAGAGTGAAAAAGCACCCTCCATGAGGAACGGTTATCACAATGCCTTCTCAATTTCTCCCTCTTGTTGGGATCTTAGGCGCACGTGCACACACACACACACACACACACACACACACACACACTCACATGCCTGGTGTCTCTAGAGCCACTAGGTCCAGGACTCAGAAAACATGCAGTTGGCAGGAACCAGCAGTTAGCGTAATGGCTATGTCGCTGGACTCCCACTTAGTCGACCGCGGTTCGCGTCTCGGACCCGGTGGCTTAAATCTCACACCGGGCGCGTGTGCCTGCGTGCCCAAGATCCCGAGAGGAGAATGGAGGAGAAGGGATTGCGGCGTGACCATCCCCCCTGGGGGGTGATTTCTCGCTTTCTGTCTCTATGTCTCTGTCTGGCGAGCGCACGCGCCCTATAGCGAAAACCTCTCCAAAAAAAAGAAAACATGCAGTTGGCCATGTGGGATCCAGCCATCCTAATTGCCACATGAACTTGCTGGCCCATGTTACACATATGTACTAAGGTGTTGTTTGTGCTTTACTTTTATTCGTAGCGGAGTTTTAGGATATTTATTGACTTTAAAATTAGTATTTATTCTTTTTAGTTTTTTCCTTTCCTTTTTTAATGGGAAAGACCTTCCTCACTCTGAGAATAGAAAATATACAATCCCTTACGTTTTATGTACGTCAGACTAATTCTTGATTCTCTTTTACAATAAAAATAAAATGAACTATACTAATTTTTTTTAGATGTTTGCTATATTAGATAACTTTAAAAAAAGTACTGAGGTTGAAGAAAGGGAATCCGCACCACATCAGGTTGTTGCGGTTGGAGTTCACTGGAACAAGCATATAGAACGTTTAATCAAAGAATTCATGAGCGATCCCTACATTGTGATCACAGCCATGGAGGAGGCTGCCCTGTATGGCAGCGTCCAGCAGGTAAGGGAGTCACGCTTATGTCAGAATGAGTGCGCGTGGGTGTGTGTGTGCGTGCAGGCACACGCGTGGTGGTGGCTTGAACACAAACAAGTAAACTTTAATTCATGGTTTACTATGAAGTGATGATAGCTTGAATTTCATACACAATTCTGTAATCGTGTATTTATAGTTCTGTCCTGTACATTTTTTTTTCTATTAAAATAATAATTCACGGGACCAGCAGTTAGTGTAATGGCTATGTCGCTGGACTCCCATGTAGTCAACCACGGTTTGCATCCGGGGCCCGGTGGCTTAAAACTCACACCGGGCGCATGTGTGTGTGTTCCCAAGATCCCAAGAGGAGCGTGGAGGAGAAGGGATTGTGGTGTGGCCATCCCCCCTGGGAGGTGATTTCTCCCTTTCTGTCTGTCTGTCTCTCCATTAAGCTCACATGCCCTGTGGCAGAAATCTCTATTTTAAAACAAATCACTCTTTCTCTATTCATTCAGGTAGTACATCTTTGTCTAGAATGTGAAAAAACTTCTACTTTACTCCAAGTCCTTGACTTCATTCCAAGTGAGGCACAGAAGACCTTGATCTTCACCTGCTCTGTCGCTGAAACAGAAATAGTGTGTAAGGTGAGCCCTTACATGCATAGAAACCTCCTCACTGTTTAAATTGTGGTTGACTCTCAGGTCATCAGCCAGTCGCTGGATAGGCAAATACGTGGCAGGGAAATAACAATTTCCCAAGTGTAACATCTCCCAGAAGAGGAAGTGGATTCCACTCACTGAAGCACTGGTGGCAGGGGCCTGGCAGTGGGGAGGTAGTAGGTAAGGGCTCCCGCTCCACTGGCACGTCCTTCTCCAAGGAGAGCTGTGCTGGAGCACCAAGAGGGTCTAGTTCTTGAGAAAATGCCAGCATCTTCTGAACACTATTTAAGAATGAGAAGATCATAGTAAAATGTATTATCATTAACTAGAAAAGCCAAATAAATAAAGATGTATTAGATTTAATATAATTTTGCATACATTAATGTTAAATTGTGGAAATGGAACCAAATACAAAATAAAAGATTCCGTAATGCTCCCAGCTTTCCACAATAATGAGCTACAAGGTATAGTTAGAAAGTCTTTGTTGGACCAGCAGGTGGCATGGTGGTTAGGTGCTGGATCCTACATGGCTGACTGCATGTTTGAGTCCCAGACCCAGAGGCTTGAAATACATGCGCATGTGCCCAAAATCCTGAGAAGAAAGTGGAGAAAGGATCACAACATGGCCATCCCCCCGGGGGATGATTCCTCATTTTCCCTTCCATCTCTCTCTCTCTCTGTCTTTCTCCAGGGAGTACACATGCCTTATAGCCAAAAGAAAAAAAATCTAAAAAAATACAGTCTTTGTTGACAGTAGTACCATATAATTAACGTATAATCAATATATGCATATATATGCACATGCATATTTGTGTTATTTTTTAAAAAAGAAAAATACAGGAAGACTTCAAAAAGATCATGGAAAATGGAATTAAAGTACAAGTTAATTTTGATGTAAAAAGATAAATCTAAAAAAAAAAAATCTATGCATAGGTTTTTAATCTATGTATTTTTCATGACCTTTTTGAAGACCTGCTTGTAGTTTTAGCAAAATAATGCTTGTTTTACCTGAGCAAGTTTTTAGATATAAACTATAGAATTTTGGAAATACATTTATTTTAATTTACAGTTGGGACCAGCAGATGGCATAATGGTTACATCGCTGGACTCCCATGTAGTCAACTATGGTTTGAGTCCTGGACTAGCAGCTTAAAACTCACACCAGATGCATGTCCATATATGCCCAAAATCCCAAGAGGAGAATGGAGGAGAAGAAACTGGCGTGGCCATCCCCTGGAGGGTGATTTCTCACTCTCTGTCTCCATCTCTCTGGCAAGCACACACACCCTATAGCAAAAAAACATCTCTGAATAAATCAACAAAAGTAAATTTACAGTCATCTCATTCTAGATCAATGAGTACTATGGTTTGGACAACCCCAAACGGTACATGTGTTAGGACCTGGTTATATTATAAGATGTTAAGTGAAAATTTAAACCCTCCATAGTGTTCCAGGCTGGGGCCCTTGCATGCAATAAAGTTATTAGGGTGGGGTCCCTCCCATGGTTAAATCTAGTAGAATGGTAAGACAGGAAAGGAGACCAGAACAGGTGGAAACTTGGGAATGGTTGTGCTGCTCAAGAAGACCCTGCCCTCCTCCTTGTTGTAGCTTCACCTGAAGCTGGTTCCTAGACCTCAGACCTCCAAATTCTGAGCTGAATAAACCTCTATTTTTGTGAATCACTCATCACTCAGTCTCAGGTATTTCTGCTGGCAACATAATATTGGACTAAGACAGTGAGGTCATACCCTCACAGATCATTGAAGCAGTTTCCATTGATAATTATTGATGAAGCAATTGGCTTTAAGCTTGTGTTCCTGACTGTGAACTGACCCCTTCTGTTTTATCTTTAGGTAGTAGAAAGCTATTCAATATTTTGCTTGAAAATGCATAAAGAAATGGTTTTTAACTTAAAGAGTGTTCTAGAACAGTGGAAGAAGAAGTTAAGTGCTGGCTCTCACATTGTGTTGGGTAAGTGAACCCCTAGGAATCGTGTCTCCATTTGCATATCTCAGCTCCAGATTCCTTACTGTTTCCTAGATTTACTGAGAATTTATTAGTAATGTTAATTTTAAATTGAAAATTAACCTCCACTGACATTTTTATGTGGAGAGGCCAGCAGGTGTTATAGTGGTTAAGGTACTGGTCTCCCACATGGCTGACCAGGGTTAGAGTCTCAGACCTGGTGGCTTGAATGTGTATGTATGTGTATGCCCAGGTGCATGTATGTGTATGCCCAAAATCCCAAGAGAATGGAAGAGAAAGGATTTTGGTTTAGCCATTCCTCCATCCCAGTAGCGGGTGATTTCTCACTTTCTTTCTCACTGCCTTGCATTCTCCCTAGAGCTCCAGTTTGAAGATCACTGTGTGTGTGTGTGTGTGTGTGTGCGTGTGTGCGCGTGTGTGTGTGCGTGTGTGTATATATGTATTCTTACATATGTGTGTGTGTGTATGAATTCCCATGTGTCTGGATATATATACATGCCTATAATGAAACATGATCATAAATGATTGTTAAATTTAGAATTAGAATTATAAAAGTCAAAATGTGTAAAATAATTAAAAACAATATGTGCAGCCTGGATTTATAATAGAGATCTATTTTAAAGAATTACTTATTCAATTACATTTGTTGTTATTATTATTATTTTTTTAATTTGACCAGAGAGACAGAAAGGGAAGGCAAGAAAGCAAGCTACTTGGTCCAGGACTTGAACTGTGGTCGTCATATGGGAGCCCAGCACCCTAACCGTCAGTCCACCTGCCGGCCTCTAATAGAGACATTTTTAACAGTAAATGAGAAATCACTTTTCTCTGGAATTTAATCACTAGAGTCTGGCTTTTTTTTTCTTTTTTTGAGAAAGATTTCTGCTATAGGGCGCGTGCACTCACTGGAGAGACAGAGAGACAAAAAGCGAGAAATCACCCCCCAGGGGAGATGACTACTCCGTAGTCCCTACTCCTCTGTTCTCCTCTTGGGATCCTGGGCATGCATGCACTTGCACCCGGCGTGAGGTTTAAGCCATCATGTCCAGGACTCAAACCATGGTCGACTACATGGGAGTCCAGCGATGTAACCATTATGCCATATATATATATGTGTGTATATATATATACACACACATATATATGGAGTTTCTTTGCATTTAAAAAGCAAAATTCAGTGCTGACACGTACCTCAGTGTGGGTTGTTGGCACTGAGTGAGTGCCGTGGACTCCAGCTCACGTGAGGTTGTCTGCCTCCCTTTCTCCAGCCTTAACCGATGACTGCATCCCACTCTTGGCCATCACTGACGCCACCTGCGTGATTCACTTCAGCTTCCCTTCCTCTCCGAAAACGTTCGGTGGACGCCTGTATTGCATGTCTGACTATTTTCACAGTTTCATGGAACAGGTTTGGTTCGTTTTTATTACCTTTCAACATCCCACTGGCATTTTCTGTGTCATGGCAAGCTCAGCACGCACCAGCTTTCCTCATTCGTACTAGTGTGAGTGATCTGCCTCCCTTACTCACTCCCGATTTTAAGGGTTCTCCTGCCGAACAGGTAGAGAAAAAAACCAAATCTGTCTTGTTGCTGACGGAGAGAAACGCAAGCCACGCAGCTGGCGTCCTGCACTACCTGGAGCGAGCTGATGCCAAAATCCCTCCGGAGCTGTATGAGTTTACCGCCGGCGTCCTACAAGCCAAAGAAGATAAAAAATCCAGGAGGCCCCTTTGCTCGTATCTTAAGGCTTTCGGTTTTTGCAAGTAAGCCGGTGTTCTTTTTGTCTAACTGAGATGTGATGTGCAGTCAGGTGCACAGACGATAAGTTCACAGTTCGATGACTTGTCACACGGACGTCCCCATGCAGACCACCTCCCGGCTCTGAGGGTGCGTGGAGGCGAGATTCCCTCACCCTCTGCCTGGTGCACCTTCCCCCAGAAGTAACCACCCTCCAGGTTGCTGTCAAGGTTGATTCATTTTGTTTGTTTCTGTACTCCATACATTAGGTCATTGGACAAGTCATGACGTATTTTTCTGTTTTTCTACGTAAAAATGCGCCATGACTTTCCCAGCGACCCAATATATGAAATTACAGTATATCCTCTTCTGCGTCTGGCATTTTTCTCTAAACCCAAATGGCTGTGACATTCACGGTTATGTTTATCTGTGGTTTATTTTATTTATCTCATGGCTCGGTGTTCCAACGTATGAATATATCACAATGTCAGTATCCGTGTGTCCTTCTGTGAAGCTATGCGCCCATTTCCTTTGGGTCTTTACTAATGAGTGGGACTGCCAGGTCCTGGGTGAGCTTATGTTTAGCCCTTCCAGGGTGGCTGACCATTTCTGAGCCTGTCGGTGTGTATGCGATAGTTTGAGCTGCCCCATATCCTCCTGCCACTTAGCACCCATGGGTATAGTACCATCATGGCTGTGGGCATCTCTGTAAAGATGAATGATATCAAAGGGACTAGCAGGTGGTGTGGTGGTTAGGACACTGGACATTCCCACGTGGCCGACTATGGTTTGAGTCCTGGGCCTGGTGGCTTGCTTTCTCACTTTCTCTCTTTCTCTGTGTTTCTCTGGTCAAAATAAAATAAGTAAATGAATAAATAAAATAAAAATTAATTTAAAAAAGATGAACGATATCAAATATCTTTTTATATGCTTCTGGGACATTTGACCATTCAGGTCTTTTGCTTATTTTTTCTTTCTCTCTCTTTCTTTCTTTCTTTCTTTCTTTCTTTCTTTCTTTCTTTCTTTCTTTCTTCCTTTCTTTCTTCCTTTCTTTCTTCCTTTCATTCTTCCTTTTTTTTAAGAGAGATTTTTGCCATACGGTGCATGCACTTGCTGAGAGACAGAGAGACAGAAAGCAAAAAATCACCCCCTGAGGGGATGGTCATACCACAGTCCCTTCTCCTCCACTCTCCTCTTGGGTACTCACAGTCACATGCCTGGTTTGAGTTTTAAGCTGCTGGGTCCAGAACTCGAACCACAGTCGACTATGTAGGAGCCCAGTGACGTATTTATTTAAAACATCATCTGTTCTCACAGATACATGTGATCCATGTTTTAACTCAGGAGTTCTTTTACATTTGTCTGTTTATACCAGTAATACGCTTCACTAAGCACTGTAGCTTTATAGCAAAGTCTCGGTATCTGGTATCTAAGACTCCAAACTCAGTTCCCTTCAAGATTGTTCTGGCTACTCTAAATCTATTGCATATAAATATACTTTTTTTTTGAGAGAGAGAGAGATTTTTGCTGTAGGGCATGTGCTTGCTGGAGAGAGAAAGAGAGAGAGACAAAGGGAGAAATCACCCCCGGGGATGGGGTGGGGATGGCCACTCTGCAATCCCTTCTCTTCCATTCTTCTCTCAGGATCTTGGGCATGCATGCACATGCGTCCAGTGTAATTTTAAGTCACCTGGTCCAGGACTCGAACCATGGTTGACTTGGGAGTCCAGCGATATAACCATTATGCCATCTGCTGGTTTCATATCCATATCCATTTAAAAACAGGCCTGTCCATTATTGAAAAACCCTACTGGAATGTTGTTAGGGACCGTATGAATTCTATTCCACCCCCAGGTTTTAAAAATTACCTTTATTTTTAAAAAATTAGTGTATGCATTACAGGAGACTGAAAAACACAAGAAGCAAAGGACAAAGTCATCCATAGTCACAAACAGCTCCGTTTCATGTGTCCTTCTGTTTGTACACACAACATGTAGTTTTATGTGACTGGGATCATACAGTATAGCATGTATTATGCTCCTTCACATATTATGAATATTTACCAATTCAAAGTCCCCAAGCTCTATTTTTTTAATTTAACTTTTATTTATTTATTCATTTTATTTTAATTTGACCAGAGAGGGTCAGAGCAAGAGAGAGAAAGAGGGAAAGTGAGAAAAGAATCCTCCAGGTCTGGGGCCCAAACCATAGTCGACCATATGGGAGTCCAGAGACTCAACCACCATGCCACTTGTCTGCCCCAACATTGTATTCTTCCTTTTCTTTTTTTTTTTTTTCCAAGAGGGGTTTTTTGGTATAGGGGGCTTGCCAGAGAGACAGGGAGAGAGAAGGAAAGCAAGAAATAACCCCTGGGGAGATGGCTATGCCACAATCCCTTCTCCTCTTGGGGTTTTGGGCACATGTGCAAGTGCCCTGAGTGAGTTTTGAGCCGCTGGGTCTAGGACTTGAACCTTGGTTGACTACGTGGGAGTCCAGTGACATAACCATTATATCTTCTGGACCCCAATATTGCATTCTCTTAATGCTCAATTTAAGACACAAAACAAGTAAATATAAGAGAAATACAAGAGAACTCATTTTCAGCTCTATATTATTAAAAAATTAGCAAGATTTTTCCATTTAATTACTCAGTGTATTCCCACAGTACAGCTAAAAGAGATGACATGCATCAGTGACTATCATCAAAATAAATGTGGGGTCAACAGGTGGCGTAGTGGTTAAGGCGCTGGACGCCTCCACGTGGATGACCGTGGTTAGAGTCCCGGACCTTGTGGCTTGCTTTCTCACCTTCCCTCTCTCAATCTGTGCTTCTCTCTCTGGTCAAATAAAAAAAAATTAATGAATAATAAATAATAAATAATTCTTTTTTAAAAAAATGTAAATGTGAGCACATCTACATACATCACTCCTTTTATAAAACATCGTTCTACATTGTGAGTCTTCTGTCCAGCAGAGACTTATCTGAAGCATACACGGAATAACTCCTCGAGACACAGAGGTCTGAGTCAAGGGGGAGAGGGGGAGGCCGGACCAGGGATCCACCTGCTAGGTCTCTCTCGTCCTCCATATTTACTAGGACAAAAGAGAACAGAAAGGTACTTTGAGGGAAAGTTGCTTATTAGAGGATTAGAAAGATAAGGGTAATTCCTGGACAGGACGGCTTCAGTATTGATAAGGGGGTGTGGCTCACTGACACCAGAGGCTGGACAGAACACCTTGGAATTTGGAGAGCACATTTATCAGATCACACACTCATTTAATGGCCTCTTGTCGGTGTTTTTAGCAGGAAGACAAGAGGTCAGGTATTTCACCATTTTCCCTGCAGTCATTCATTCAGAGTTCATAAGTCCCCAAGGGGTTCTAGGAGCGTGGCATTTCTGCCATTCCCTAACACTACAGTAGGGAGTGCATGGATTCTTTTTTTTTTTCTTTTTAAAAAATAATTCTTTATTATTTTATTATTATTACTATCATTTTAAAATTTACTGTCAGGAATGTGTTCTCACTAGGAGAGAGACAGAGAGAGAAAGCAGGCCTCCAGGTCCAGGACTCACACTGCTGTTGGTCATGTGGAAGTCCGGTGCCTTAACCGCCACACTACCCGTGAGCCCCAAGATAACTGTTGATAATATTAACTTTTTGGAATTATGGTACATTAAACATGTGGTTAGCAGGAATTTCCATTATGCCTTGAAATAGAATATTGATGTTTAAGACTTTGGCTTCAACTGTTTTTCAGTTTGGAGGTAACATTATACTTAAGGAATAGATTCTGATTTTGAGGTTAGTTGGCCTTTGTTGTAAATTATGGTGATATGTTTCGATTCAAAAATCTCTGTTTTGGAAGCGTATTTTATTTACTTAATACATTTAAGAATGTCTAGAGAAAGAATGAAATAACTTTCCTTTAAATTTATTTAGTGTTGAGACCAGCAGGTGGTGTGGTGGTTAAGGTGCTGGACACTCCCACATGGCCAACCACTATTCAAGTCCCAGATCTGGTGGCTTCCTTTATCCCTTTCTCTCTCTGTGTGTGTGTGTGTGTGTGTGTGTGTGTGTGTCAGTGTGTCTCTGGTCAAATTAAAATAAATGAATGAATAAATAAAATTAAATAAATAATTTTAAAAAATTATTTAGTGTTAATTAAGTTTGAGAACCTTTTCTACTTAAATGTTAAATAATCATACTGAAATATTTAGAAAGATTGCTTAACTTCAATAATCATACTGAAATATTTAGTATGATTGCTTAACTTCTTTTAACAATTATTTGTTTAATTTTATTTATTATTATTTTTTAATTTGTCTAGAGAAATTAAAAGAGAGAGAGAAAGTGATAAAACAAGCCGCCAGGTCTGGGACTCAAACTGCAGTGGGTCATGTGGGAGAGTCCAGTGCCTTAACCACCTCACCATTTGCTGGCCCCACAAGTGCTTCATTTTTAAAGCGTTCGGAAGAAGAGTTCTCTCAGTTCCGTTATGGATCATTTTTCTCAAGAATGCTTAGAAATCTGTAATAACAATTAGGTTATTTTTCCTGGTTTAAAAATCCAGTCACTTATTTTTTTTCCAGAGACAGAAGGACCTGTCCTGACCGACACCATATTAATCCAGACATGGACATACCGAGGAAATTATCCAATCAAGCGCTACCAATGCTTGGCTATATTAAAGTAAGATTTGTCACAGATCCTTCTGTCCAGTGGTTCGTGGTCATTTCAATGAATGTTTAATTTTTCAAGCAGCAGAATTTTGGTAGAATGTGATCATGATGTCCATATTAATATGTCATGTCAGTATTAATGTATCACCATTAATATGAAAATAGGCGTGGGTCCTTAGAAGGTTCCTCATTTCAGAGCCCTAGTTTATTTATAAAACCAAGATCACGAGCCGGCCAAGGCATGGAGTTTAAGACAGCCGAGTCCCATGTGGCCAACTGCACTGTGTGAGTCGTGGGCCCAGAGACTTGAAAAGCATACCAAGTACATGTGCACATTATGTGTACAAAGTCTCTCTCCTATGAACACACGTGCCTCAAAGCAAAAACTAAAAAAAACAACCTAAAGAAAAAAGATCAAATTGGATAAATGGGTGGTAACTTAACGGATTTTTGTTTTCACTTACAATTTCAGAAAAATATTGGGTTGTTGGAAAAGTCATAACACATTTGAAAAAAATATGTCATGGCTTTTCCAACAGCCCGGTAATTGTTACCATGTGGGGGCTATTAAAAGTACTTCAGTGATTTTGTGAATCTTTTCAAAATAGATGTGATTGGGACCAGCAGTTAGCGTAATGGCTATGTCGCTGGACTCCCATGTAGTTGACCGCGGTTCACGTCCCGGACCCGGTGGCTTAAACTCACGCCGGGCACGTGTGCGTGCGTGCCCAAGATCCCGAGAGGAGAATGGAGGAGAAGGGATTGCGGCGTGACCATCCCCCCTGGGGGGTGATTTCTCGCTTTCGGTCTCTCTGTCTCTCTCTGTCTGTCCGGCGAGCACACGCGCCCTTTAGCGAAAACCTCTCCAAAAAAATAAAAAACAGATGTGATTGTTCCTTTGAGGAAAATTCTGAGGTGCAAATTAAATTGCAGAATTAAGCATTTGTTACTTTCTTTGAAATCCTTCTTACTAATTTTGTCACTTCTTTTTGAATTTAAAAATATTTTGCCTGTCACCTCTTTCCTTTAAAGCATTGTCTGTTGTGTTGGTTTCTTCTGGCTGCTGTAAGAAATGACCCTAAGTCAGTCTTTTAACACAGATTTATTCTTTCATAGTTCTGGAGGCTGAAATTCTATTCTTTTTCTTTTTGGAGGGATTTTTGCCATAGGGCACGTGTGCTCACCAGGAAGACAGAAAGAGACAGACAGAAAACAAGAAATCACCCCCCCCCAGGGGGGTTGGCCACGCCACGATCCCTTCTCCTCTTGGGATCTTGGGCACGCACGCACACAGGCCTGGCTTGAGTTTAAGCCACCCGGCTTGGGATTCAAACTATGACTGAATACGTGGGAGTCCAGCGACATAGCCATCACACCAACTGCTGGTCCCTCGAGGCTGAAATTCTGAAATCAAGGGGTCGGCAGGGCTGTGCTCCCTGAAAAACCTCTAGATCACAGTCCAGTCCTTGTCTTTTTCCAGCTCCTCTTGGTTTAGGACACACGCGCACACACATGCCCAGCTTCTTGGTTTGGGGCATTCCTTGGTTTGTAGCAGTTCATAGCCAGATCATTCCAGGCTCTGCCTGCACCATCACTAGCCTTCACCTCTTCTCTGCCCTCTCAGAGGGAGGCCACCCAGGTAACCCAGACAGTCTTCTCGGCTGGAGACAGTGAATGACTTCTACAAAGACCCTTTTATCAAACGAGGTCATCGTCACAGTGATCTTGGGAATTAGAGTGTGCAGTACATCTGACTTAGGGGTCGCCATTGACTCCACTAACGTTTTCATTATTCAAGTAATTTTTCTTGAATTTCTAAATATTTCCCGAGTCCTATTCCATCATTTCTGTTTTGTTTCTTTAATTCCTGATTTACATATATATGTACACATCCACACATCGTGCATATATACACACTACACACACAGGATAGACATAGTCTATTAATTATTTGGCATTCGTTTCCTAAATGACCAGCTGGAAAGCAGCTTGTTTTGAAACTGAAGGTGATGGGCCAGCCTGTGGCCTGGGGGTGAAGGTGACTGGATCCCGCACGACTGACCATGTGATTCAAGTCCTGGACGCACTTCTTAGACACAAGCTGGATGTGTGGTCACGCCCACAATTCCACAGGGAGGGGGACATAGCGGAGAAGGGACTGCAGTGTGACCCTCATGGCGGTGCTTTCTCACTTTTCCTCTTTCTGCCTCTCTCTGGAGAGTGCACATGTCCTCCAGCAAATTAAAAAAAATAACAATAACAATTTTTATAAAGGTTCAGTTAAAAAGTAAAGAAATGCTCTATGTAGTAAAGTAGTTGTAAAGTAATTCAATTTGCCAAAAAAAAAAAATCTATTAGATTTATAGTAAAACTATTCATTCGTAAATACAGGAAGGTATCTATTTTGTTTCTTGACCAACCTTCTACAGTGATTTTTTCTTTCTTTCTTTTTTTTTTTTTTTTTTTTTGGAGAGGTTTTTGCTATAGGACACGTGCGCTCGCCAGAAAGACGGAGAGAGACAGAGAGACAGAAAGCGAGAACTCACCCCCTGGGAGGATGGCCACACCGCAGTCCCTTCTCCTCCATTCTCCTCTCAGGATCTTGGGCACGCACACACATGTGCCTGGCATGAGTTTAAGCCACCGGGTCTGGTACTTGAACTGCGGTCCACTACATGGGAGTGCAGCGACATAGCCATTACGCTAACTGCTGGTTCCCCCCTTCTATAGTGATTTTAAAATCCCTTGTTCGTATACTTTGGGTTCTTAGGTCAGGTGCTAATTTCTACAGGCACGAGGAGTGTGTATATCTTTTGTTTAGATAAAATTGGTTTTCTGTCTGTGTTTCAGCTCATACCTTTTTATATTTCAAATGCAACAAATTACTTTGGTCGTATCATTGATAAACATGTGGATCTTTATGAAGCTCTTCATGCTGAAATGACTGAGTATTTTAAGGATTCCAGTAATAAAACAACCACTGAAAAGGTGGAGAAATTTGGATTGTATGGATTGGCAGAAAACAGAGTTTTTCACAGGTGAAATATCTGATGATTTCCTCTCTGAAGTTGTGAAGCATGTGGTAACTTTAATTGGTAGCAGAGTCCTCTTCCCACCCCTGTCCGCTTGACCGAGTGTCTCCATCCTAAGTCTGTCTGCCTCCCAGGCGTGTGGTGCCGGTGTGCCGTCCGCAGGCACCAGGTGGCGCTCCACCCGTTAGACCACCCGGCTTCTGAGCACAGAGCAGGGTGACAGCGTAACCAGAGACAGTTACTGAGCCAACACGGTGCTGTGTGTGGCATATGCAGACATCTTCCCTCAGCTAATCCTTTACAAATTCCCATAAAATGGACACGGTTGCCATTTCACAGGTAAGCAGACCGAGCTTTGGCGATGTTCCCTCATCTCTGAGGTCAGCTCAGTAAGTGGCATGGCAGCGTCCCCACCCAAGCAGTCTGGCTCCGTGCTGGCTGGCACCCACTTTCCTGGAGTCCACACCAGGTGCCACCAGCCATGGCCTCGACTCAGATACTCTGACACTTGAACGTGCTGTGTCCATTTTCTCATGTGGTCAGATGAAGGGGGTTGCTCTGTTGGAAATGACTACGTTTTTCTACTTATGTCCCTGCAGTGGAGCGGGAGTCTTTCTGTGTATTTTCCACTTGCTGGGTAAGTCGAGACTCAGGGGATTTCTTCTCCAGAATCTCCTTGTAAAACTGACGCCACCTTTGTCCCACAGGGTTCAGGTGTTGGAGATGAGCCCAAAAAAAGACACGTGGGCCCTGGATAACGTGCTGGTCCAGTTCATAGATGAGGGCAGGACCAGGCTCGTCACAAGGGACCAGCTGCTGCCCAGAGCGTTTCCACACGCTGCCCCCTCAGGCTGTGGAGTTTATCGTCTGTAGAGTGAAACCCGCCGACAATGAGACAGAATGGAATCCGAAGGTGCGTTAAATACTTGGACTCACCGTGTATTTAACTCGAAATTTACACAGCACTGAGCCCTGTCAGAATTTTTTTTTCCTTTCATTTATTTATTTTTACATTTTTCCACATTTACTTTACATAGCAAAAAATTTTAGCTCATACTCCATAATTCTTGACAGTTTACAAACAACTTTCAAAATTTCAAAATACTGAATTTTAAAGATAATGTTCAAAATACGTCTTATAATTTTGTAATTTAGAGTATTGCGTTTGGGCCTCACACTCCATATTCCTAGGCAGTGAAAGCGCAGTCTGCTTAGATCCGCGCTGGGACGAGAAGGGATGGCCCGCCTGGAGAACTGGCTTGGAACCTCAGAGCAGAGCTGCGTATCCTTGGCACTGTTGGCCATCGGTACCATTAGTGCTCACAGGCGTCAAATTGGTCTAAAATAGGTGTCCTGGCAAAAGAAACTGACTGTTAGCTTAAGGAGAAGAAACCATGTAAGCACCTACAATATGGAAACCCCAGTCACAGCGGGGACATTGCCTAGAGAGGCAAGACAGCCCAGCACCATGAGATTGGAAGGGTGGACAGGAAGGAGAGACGGAGGCCAGAAAACCTCCCAAAGGAAGGGCAGTGCCCCTGGGCCTTGTAAGGTAACAAGGATGTCACCGGGCACAGTGGATAGGTCATGGAGATAGGAAGTGACGCATGGTCCCATAGGGCTCGCTTGGCTATCCAAGGTCGGGTAGAAAGGCCCAGCCCTTGGCCAGTAGTGGCCAGAGAGGCAATGTCTGTCATCGTGGGAGCAGTGAGTCCCGTTCCTGATGGTGCTCCTGCTTACCCAAGGGAAGGCTGCATTTCGTACAGCCTGATTATTGGGATATATAATAAACCATCGCAGTTGGTGAAGGAAAAAAAACCAGTTGGGGTTATCAACAAGGGTCAGCGTTATCCGGCACAAAAACACATGAATGATTTCATGGTTCAGGATGAATATACTGTCTTACTTTTGTGAATTTAGTACAATACAGCCTTTATCAAACAGCAGCCTTTTTTCCTCTTTGGTGTAATGCTCATGTACTGAAGGTGCACCACTTGCCAAATGCCAGGCTGGGCTCTGGGAGGTTGTCATCGGTGAGAAGATCACGGCCCTGGTTCTCTAGGAACATCTGCTCTGTAAAGATGATTGGCCACAAGGATTTCTGGAAGAGCAGCCCTCTGTCGAAATGGGAGGAAGTTCTCTTGTGTGTCTTCTTTGAGGAGGACAGGCACAGTCTGACGATGGGCCAGCTCCCTCCTGTCCTGCTTTATTGGCGGTGAGCTGCCGAGATGGCTCAGGCAGGTCTTATGTATCGTGGCCCCACTTGAAATGAAAACAACCTTGTGCCCAGCAAAAAGCACACGGAAGACCAGAGCCCCTTCATTCCAAGGTCACTGGCTTCAGGGCAGCTCCATTGCTGTGACATCCTCTGAAGCGACAGGAACAACTGTTACTTGGCTCTTGTTGAGACTTCAAAGCATAAGCATCCAGGGACCAGCAGTTGGCGTAATGACTATGTCACTGGACTCCCATGTAGTTGACCGCGATTCACGTCCCGAACCTGGTGGCTTAAAACTCACACCAGGCGTGTGTGCGTGCGTGCCCAAGATCCCGAGAGGAGAATGGAGGAGAAGGGATTGTGGCGTGGCCATCCCCTCTGAGGGGTGATTTCTCGCTTTCTGTCTCTCTGTCTCTCTCTGTCTGTGTGGTGAGCGCATGTGCCCTATAGCAAAAACCTCTCTCTCAAAAAAAAAAAGAATAAGCATCCATATTCCAAAGATGCTAGTTGGTAGAGGAGGGGGTACACGTGTCCTCAGTGGGAAGCATGTAGTGCCAGGAGTCTGAGGGCACACACCCTCACACTCATAGAGCTCCCTAGTGTGGGACCCCCTGCCTTTCTACACCTGCTCTTGTGAAACCCTCCTGCTGTCCTCGTCAGTGAAAGGAGGTGATGACCTCTGCAGCCTCCTTCATAGGGTTGTTGTGAGGCACCAGGGAATAAATGCAGGGCATGTTTTGCAAATACACAGCGTATGTAGGATAAGGATTTTTCTTAAAGCTTCAAATAAGTGCTTTTCTTCAGGTGACTAGGTACATTCACCATAAAGTCGTTGGAAAATTACACGATGCAAAAGTGATGCTGGCTTTGGGAAATACAGTTTGGATCGATCCAATGGTAAGTATGCAGTGTTCTTAAAACACACACACACAGACACCCTCTGAATGGACCCTTAAAATGATCCAAGCCTGTTTGAATAACTGTTTTTGCTTCATAGAAATGGAAGCTCATGTGGGGCTACGAGGGAGAGGTATTTTCACATTACTGGGTCCAAACTTCTGAGTTTGATTTTGAAGAGAATATTTGCCAGGGTAGCCCAGTACACGCACGCTTTGGTGTGTATGGCACATGTGCACTCACACAACTGAACACGGTTTTCCTGAAGCCGGCCTTCACTATGTGACCTGTTCTGATATTCGCTGTTCTTTTCTGATCATGAACTGTTAGATTTCATAGCCCACTGGCCTTGCCATTTGAGAAGCCCTGGGCGGTGACTGCTAAACCAGCCTCCATCTGTCCTAGTCTATAAGTGAGCTGGAGATCTGGGACGTGATCAGTTATGTTGAGGACTTCAAAGTCCTCTTTCTAAAATCTACTTTTCAAAGATAGATTTTATCATGGGCAGTTTCTACTCCATTCATTGACCAAATATTTATTGAGCACCTATCATGTGTTAGGACCAGTACTGGGCCTACCTGTGAACAAAGTAGGCACAACCTTCTGGCCTGTGGAGTTGATGTGCAGTGGTGGAAGGTGGGTGTGAGACAAGGAGATGTGATTTATGGGGTCCCTTGTGCCCCCTTGTACCATCCCCTCTGCTCACACCCCAAGAACTCTACTGTTCAAAGTTTTGCTGTATTATATACTACATCTTAATGATTATGCTTATCTATAAGATTTAAAGGAATTCAGTTCATAAAAACTGTTTTGCTGAAAGTTGTTTTTATTATAAGGTCAGCAAAGTTTTAACATGTTAAAAAGGGAAGTTTACGTATAAAATGTAAGAGTAAGAGGAGAAAATGGTCTTTAGACGGGAAAACAGAGATGGCCAGTGTAGGTGGATGAAGAGACGTGGGAGTTTTCATTGATATTGTAATAATATTGTAGTTGTAACTTATTGGAGAAAAACGGAAATTGTATTAAGCAGGTATTTCAAAAGCCGTTACTAATAGAATGAAGTAAAATAGAAAACCCACTTGGAAAGTATGTTTCCATGGCCACCAAGCGTGTGTGACAGTGCTGCTGTCATACTAGAAGGGAGCAACGCCCCACCCTTGTCTTCAGACTAGCTTCGTCCCAGAGTGGAGAGAGGCTCTTCCACACGTTCCCAAGGGTCACTTAGAAAGGTGCCCCACCAGTGCCAGCCTGGCTCACCCCGCATGGCTATGAGAGGGATGCTCAGTCCTGTATACGTATCATCCATCGGCAGGAATCAGACTGTTGCAGATTTTCATGTTTTACTTCATTTCATATAAATGGAAATGGATGAGAATGTTTTGGTTGCAGAAAAGACAAACGGAAGATACGGTCCAGAACACAGGATGTAGGGCCTTGGCGTAGACCCTTTCCAGGCACCTGAGGATTCAGGCCTTAGGATTCTCCTTGCTAATAGAGGTAAAAGCAGTTGAGTAAGAATAAAAGAAATATGAGAATTTTGTGTTTGGTTACAGCATTAGAGGTCAGTCTTGACTAGGAACTTAATTCCAGGAGTCCATGTTGGCCCCACCCACATCTGGTCATATTTCTGAGGTGCAGGACTAGGAAGATTGTAGTGTAACCCTGGTGTTGTAAGAAGCTCAATGCCACTGTGGTAATCCGTGGCACCTGGTGGCACGTGTGCCCAAGTGCTTCAGACATGGCAGAGAGATTGTGAGGCCACGTGGAAGTGTTTGCAGTTGAATGAAAATCCAAAGTGCGATTCTCGCAAATGTTCTGTTTTCTTCTTTGATTCAAGGTGCACATTACAAAGCTTCCAAATCTGAAAACTTCTATCATTGATTATAATGTGCGAGCTGAAATTTTGTCGATGGGAATGGGCATCGATAATTCCGAACATATAGAACAACTGAAAAAATTGTACCAAGAAGCCAAAATGCCAACTTTTGAGGAAAGCCTAAGCCAAACCCTGTAAGTGAATTTTTGTCTCCCTTTTGGAAGAGCATTTTGGTAGAAATAGAACTCAAAATTGTTAAGGTTTGCTTTTGTTTTGTTTCGTTTTTAGTGACAGTAGAGTAGCTTAATGAGTCTCTGTGTTCCCATCACTCAACCTTACTGGGAATCTTGTTTTATCCATATTACAACTCACACGTATATTTCTGGTGGAGTATTATAAAACAAATCTCAAATGTATTATTTCACCTGTATCTCTTACACAGATCATTTTTTCTAACTTAATATTGGCGAATAGCACACATACAGAAAAGTGCACACATGTTAAGTGTACAGTTTAATGGGCTTTCTGAACACACTCGTGTAAACAGCCTCAGATCAAGAGACCCAGCATGACTCAGAGCCTCTGTCTCCTCCGTTCCAGTCACTCCCACTCCACAAGAGCGACCGTTCTCCTAACATGGAAAGATACAAATGGGTCTTCCCTGGGTTTGTGCGTTGCCTGCGTGGAATCATGGAATAGGTCTCTTGTGTATCTACTTTCTCTGTCCTGGCATTATTTGTAAAATTCGTCTTTATCGTGCATATCATTATGGAGCTAAGTTCTCATTGCTGCATAATGTCCCTTTGTATTTTTTTTAACCCATTCACCTGTTGACTGGGGAAATTTCCAGCATGGGGCTATTTCACATAGTGGTACTTCCAACATTCTCCCACAAATCTTTGGTGCACTTACAGATGTGTAACTGATGAAATGGAATTGCAGAGTCATGATTAGAGCTACTGCCCAACAGTTTTCCCAAGTTAACAGTACCCAATTACATTCCTCTAAGCAGTTGCCTGAGCTGGCAGGTAGCATGGTGGTTAAGGTACTGGGGTCCCACACGGCCGACCATGGCTTGACTCCCAGACCTAGAAGCTTGCTTTTTCTCTCTCTTCATATTAAAACATAATAATAAATAAAATTAAATATACATTTTTTAAAAATATCAGTTTTCTATATGTTTTGGGACTTATTTCTGTCATCTCTATTCTGTTCTATTGGTCTGGTGCCTGTTTTCATGCCAGTATTGTGCTGTTTTGGATATTAGGGCTTTGTAATGTATTTTGAAGTCGGGTAGTGAGAGGCCTCTTTTTTGCAGAGTATTACGTTGGGGATTTGGAGTCTTTTATGATGCAAACAAATTTTATGATTGTGTTCTGTTTCTGTGATGAATGTTGCTGTATTTTGATAGGAATTGCATTGCATTTCTAGATCATTTCAGGAAATTTTGATATTTTAACTATATTGATTCTTCTAATCTATGAATAAGAGATGTCTTTCCACATTTTCTATATTTTTCAACTTTTTCTTTCTCTCTCTCTTTTTAAAAAATTTGCCATAGAGTGACTGGGCTCACCAGAGAGAGAGGAAGGGAGAGAGAGAAAGAAAGAGAGAGAGAGAAATGAGAATGCCTCTGAGGGAGACAGCCTAGCTTCAATCCCTTCTGCTTCACTCACCATTCAGGATTTTAGGCAAACAAATGCATGGGCGTGGCACGTTCCCCAAGCCACCAGGTCTGGGAGTCGAACTACTCAGTCAATCATGCGAGACTCAGCCACCCTAAACCACTATGCCACTAGTTGGCCAACTTTTTCAGTTTCTTTATTCAGTTTTTTACAATGTGCATAATAGAGATCTTTTACTTCCTTGGTGAGATTTATTTCTAGGTAATTGTGGGTGTATGTCTTTTATAAATGAGATTGCTCTCATTTCTGTCTCAGTTTGTTCATTGTTAGTTGCATCTAGCAACTTTACTGAATTCATTTATCACATCTAAAAGTTTTTGGGTGGATACTTTATGTATTTCCACTGTATAGAATCAGGTCATCCACAGATATTTCACTGTTCCTTTCCAAGATGGACGACTTTTATTTTATTCTGTTGTCTTATTGCGTAAGCTAGGACGTCTAGTACTATTGTACTGTTACTCTAATTGAATAAGATTGGAGAATGTAGATATCCCTGTCTTGTTCTACTTTTAAGTAAGAAAACTTTCTGCTTTTCTCCACTTAGTATTATGTTTGCTGTGGGTTTGTCATATGTAGAATTTACTGTGTTAACGAACATACCTTCTGTACATTTTCGTTATATAAAAACCATATGGCTTTCTCTTGATTGGGCGTGGGCCTGACTGCTGCGTAAACCTTTGCCTGTTTTCCAGAGCACCTACAAAGTTAGTTCAGATAGCTCCTGGTGGTTTTCTGATGTTTCCATATGGGAATGAGAGCTTGACGTTTCCTGGTCTACCATTTTGCTCTGCGTGCATTCTTGTGGCAAAACGCTGGAACATTTCTTCAGTCCAGTTACGTTTCAGTTGATCTATCACAGATGAAGGGAAACTGAGGCTACCATTAACGTTTACGTTTAAAATACATTCATTCAGCCAGTGAAACTTAAGTGTCTACTAGGTCCACAGTAATAAACAAAACAAATGAGAAACCTTCTCTTCAAGGGACTTACACTTTAGTGGACAGAGTTAAACAAGTACACAGCACAGCAGACAGTGATGGGTGAGCTAGAGCAGATGAAAGCTGGAAGGAACGCAGGGTGGCTGCAGGACCAGTGAGAGGGACTGAGCAAAGGCACAGAAGTGAAGTGTCACCCATGCACATCCCTGAGACAAGACTCTCACGGGCAGAGGGATAGCCTGGTGAGTATCTGGGTAGGTGGTTTGTGGATATTGACAAGGTTGTAGGGTTCTAAAATATAACAGAATGAATAGCACATGGGGGGGCAGTGAAAGACAGTGCACAGTTCAGTGGATGGGGAAGGAGAAGGATGGTACCCCTCTTGTAGCATATTGGAAAAGAGGATAGATTCTGGGGACTGACAGACCTAGAAGCCACAGGGCTTAGTGAGTGGCAGGTGCAGCAGAGTGATTCTGTCATTCTGAGCCTTCGTGGTAGAGAACATTGATGCAGTTGTGACAGAGAACATTGACTCAGCTGTTTTCTAGAGAGCATCTCATTGGAGAGGGAGAGACACCGAGTTTGGCTTCAGACATCCTGGTTTGCCAGTATTTGGGAACAAACTTGTTGGACCGGCCACATAGCACAGCAGTTAAACACTGCACAGAGGAAGCCAACTCTCACATGGTTGACCAGGGGTCAAGTCCTGGCCCTAGCAGGATGAAGAGGAGGAGAAGGGGTTACAGCATGACTCTCTCCCCCCCTCCCCGTTTCCCATTGAGTAGTTCTCTTCCTCGATGTGTTTACCCTCTGACATAATAAAAACTTCATAAGTGTGGGAGGAGGACGAACAGACCTACTAGATGAAGATCCAGTGAAGGAGGTAGACAGCTACACAGGGGAGGAGGATGAGACCTGAGGAGGGTCCTCGTGTGGGAGTTGGGGCCTGGTCTGCTGCCATGCTACACCAGGGGAGTGCTATACCACCAGCTTCTTATGTGTTGGCTAGACCTCCCCTGGAACACACGTGCACACTCCCTGCTCATAGATGTGCATGTACGTGTGTGTGTGTGTGCGTGTGTCCGTGTGTTCAGTTGGGCTTAAATGATCTAGAAGAATGCACACACTGTTGGATGGAGCCTAGTGGAGGGAGCCTAGTGGCTGGGGAATGGGGTTGAGAGGGACGTTTTTCAATGCGTAGACCTTTATATTTGTTTAAAAATATCAACCACACAAAAGTGGTTACCTATTAAAAGACCAAAAGAATAACACAATTTGAGATTTTTAAAAATATAAGGCAACCCTCACTGTAGGGATAGGAAGGAATCTCTAGCTAGCTATCGAACGTCACACAGCAAGGAGCGATGCGTTGCACTTAGTAGATTCCTGTGTGTATGTGGGTATGTGTGCCAGATGGAGAGACAGACGATAGCATTGACATTTTTATGCAAAGACTGCTTCTAGAAAGAGACCTGAACTGCTGACAGCAGTACTGTGGGGAAAATGGACTGAGGCGAAGGCTTGGGGGGAGGAAACTGGCTTCCCACTTCCTGCCCTGTTATCTGGTTTGAAGGGAGTAGCAGCGTGTGCCGTTACCCCCACAATTCAAAGAACTCCGAAGGAACGTTATCTGGGTCATGAGTGAGTGCCTTTCTCGGATGAGACGTCTCAGTCACAAGAAGTGACTGCCGTGCACGAGACCTGCGTGCCTCTGGCTCCTGGTAACACATGCTTCATACCCGTGGCTTGCCTTCCTCTTTGGCTGGGAACCTCCTGTAGAGAGCCACATTTGCCTGCGTGTCTTCTGCAGTACGGGAGTTAACCTCCACCTCTTCTGTCCAGGACAGCACCGTCGGCAGAAGATGCGGCTCGTCAGCAGAGCACACAGCCCAAGGACGGGGGTGCAGAGAGTGGGGCTGACTCCCAGATGAACTCAGAACACCAGAAGCCCGGTGCGTACCTGTTATTTAAAAGACGGTTACCTTTGTAGAGAAGGTGCCGTAAACTGGTATCACCTAACTGTCCCTGTTTTTCACAACTCAGCTTTATACATCTGTTTTTGGAAACTGTTTTCTTTTTTGTTATTTGAGGTATTACATGTATGCATCAAAGTCCACAGATCTTAGGTGAACAGCTTATCAGTGTCTGTTTTCTTCTTTTTTCCTTTTGGGAGTGGAGAAAGAGACAGAGATAGGTACTTTTTTTTTTAATAATTATTTTATTTTATTCATTCATTCATTTATTTTTTAATTTGACCAGAGAGAGACAGAGGGTGAGAATGAGAGAGAGAGAGGAAGTCACGCCACCGGATTCTGTACTCGAACCCTGGTCAGCCATGTGGGAATGTCCAACATCTTAACCACTATGCCACCTACTGGTCCCCCGAGAGACAGGTACTTTGAACAAGGCCTCTCTGAGTCAAGATTCTGCTGCCAACCTCCTAATTAGGTCGGATTACAGGTGTGTTTAGGTTGGCTGAGGAACCGAACCTGTGCCTCTGTAGGTGGCTTCCAGCCTTCCAAGTAGTGGCATTACATGTGACTGGTCCTCATCACAATTTTTCCTTGTAAATATAGCCATTCACCACACCTGCAGCAAGCTGTTGGGTGTTTCCAGAACCCCAGCAGTGTGCTACCTCGAACTCCCCAGTGACCACTGTTCTGATTTCTGTCCCCATTAGTTTTGCTGAAATCGAGACATATACCATATATATATATATATATATATATATATACACACACACACACACACTCTCTCTTGACTTCATCCTGCCAGCGTCATGTCAGTGAAACTCATCTGTTATTGCAGGTAGCAGTGGACTGTTTTTATGGCCGAATTGGATTCTGTAATAGGAATCACTACTATTTGGTTTTTATTTTATTTTTTACATTTTGGGCTATTGCAGTTAAAGCTGCTATGAATATTCTTGTTCAGTTTCTGGAGGGAAGCTTTCAGCATTTTCGATTAAAAAGTTTACATTTTGGCCAGCACTGTGGCCTGGTGGTTAAGAGCGCCAGATCCTAGAACGGCTGGCCACGCAGTTTAAGTCCTGAACCTGGCAGCTTGGGAAACACACCAGATCCGTGTGCCTGTGTGCCCCAAGTCCCAACAGGATGGGGAAGTGACGTGTGCCTGTGTGCCCCAAGTCCCAACAGGAAGAGGAAGTGAAGGAAAAGGGATTGTGGTGGGACCACTGCCCCCTGGGGAGTGCTTTCTTCCTCTCCCTCTATCTCTGTCTCTCTCTGGCGAGTACATGAACCCTCTGGCAGATTTTTCTTCAGAAGTTTAAATTGCCTTGTTTTAGAAAATGTTTATGTTAGCATGGGTTTCTTGTGCATATTGATTGCTATTATGGAAGTCATTACTTTTTTTTTTTGAATTTGCTGTAGCATATGTGTACTCTTAAAAGCTATTATGGAAGTCATTACTTTTTTTTTTTTAATTTGCTATAGCATATGTGCACTCTTAAAAGAGAGAAAGAAAGAGAGAGAGAGGAAAAGTGAGAAAGCACCCCTGCCCCGGGGAAATGACCACAGCACAGTCCCTTTTCCTCCATTCTCCTTTTCAGATTTTGGGCATGCACGCACATGCACCTGATGTGGTGTTTTCAAGCCACTGGGTCTGGGACTTGAACCACACAGTTAGTCATGGGGGATCCACACCACCTGGCTGGCCCTGGAAGTCATTTTTAGTGAGGGCCTGGCAGGACCCTAAGCCTGAACATGTACATCCTATGGCCAGCAATTACAGTTGTAATACTTTCAACGAGTAACTTTACTTCCCTGATGGTTTAATGTTTGTCAGAGTGTGTTTTTATTTAAAACAGTGCGTGCATTTTACTGGGATGCACATTTTTCATGTGCGTCTTAACTTCTTCTGATTATTCTTTGCAATTGGATACTTGATTTAGACTCTCCTGTGAGTGATTTCTCATCTAGAGATTTCATGTAATGCAAAAAAAAAAACTGTGCGTGTGTGTGTATTTATATAGTTAGATATAAATAACCTGTAAGAAAATTTTACTTTGATTTTACACAGAAATTTTATCTGAAAGCACTGGAGAGGCTTCTGTTAGCAAAACTGCACAGCCCCCTTTGAGAAGGTATGTCTAGCCACTGGTGGGCTTGACCTCCCCGAGCTGGTGAACGGGTGGCGACGGGCGCGAAAGCCTTGTTCTTTCCTTCTAGCTTCCATCCGCAAGTCAAGTGGTTCCAAAAAGATCATGTCGTCATCGTGAAGATAAAAATTCGGAATGTAAAGGATCACAGCTGTAAATATTTTAGAGACAGAGTCATTTTCAGGTGGGCTTATTGTTTTATCTCACAAGATAAAATAGGAACAATTTCTAATGTGTTCTGTAAGGCTAACTTTATTTCTTTTTTATAAACCCAGTGCCTGGGTGGGAGACAAGTTTTACTTGGCTGACATGGAGCTACAGGCCAACATAATAAAAGATGACTGCAAATGCATAATTAAAAATGATGAACCTGTGATCACTCTTGTGAAAGAGAGGAAGGAATCTTGGTGTAGCTTGCTCAAACAGAAGGTAAGTGGCAATGAACAGCCACTGGCTGGTCTTAGCGCCCTGGGTACGTGTATTTATGTACTTAACATAAGCTGTTCTGTTGGGCAGAATCCTAATGTGGCTTTCGATTTTGATCACTGGGAAGAATGTGAAGAGGACAGCCACTTCTCCAAAGGTAAGATGCCGAACCTCCGCTCCCTGGAGGGGCTGTGGGTCCGTAATCACTCCCTCAGCTGATTTTAGGCATTGGCCTTTGTGGGAAAGGGTGGTGAAGGTAATGCCTTTAGAATTCGTTTCTCGGGACCAGCAGTCAGCGTAACGGCTATGTTGCTGGACTCCCATGTAGTCGACTGTGGTTCGTGTCCCGGACCCGGTGGCTTAAAACTCATGCCGGGTGTGTGTGCGTGCGTGCCCAAGATCCCAAGAGGAGAATGGAGGAGAAGGAATTGCGGCATGGCCATCCCCCCTGGGGGTGATTTCTCGCTTTCTATCTCTCTGTCTCTCTCTGATTTTGAGTCCTGCCCAGCCCCCCCCCCCCGCCCTTTTGGAGAGGTTTTTGCTACAGGGTACATATGCTCACTGAAGGCAGAGAGAGGAAGAAAAGAGAAGGGAAAGTGAGAAATCACCCCCCATAGGGGATGGCTATGCCTCAAATCCCTGCTCATCCATTCTTGGGACTTTGAGTATGCACCCACATGTGCCCAGAATGGTTTTCTCTCCTTCCTTCCTTCCTTCCTTCCTTCTTTCCTTCTTTCATTTCTTTTCATTTCATTTATTCTCTTTTCTTTTCTTTTCTTTTCTTTTCTCTTCTCTTCTTTTCTTTCTTTTCTGTTCTTTTCTTTCTTTCAGATTTTTGCCTTAGGGCACATGCACTCACAGGGAGAGAGAGAGAATGAGAGGGAAAGTGAGAAATCCCTAGGCGGATGGCCATACCTCAGTCCTTTCTCTTCCGTTCTTCTCCTGGGATCTGGGGTACACCTGCATACATGCCTGGTGTGATTTTGAAGCCATGGGTCTGGGACTTCAACCACAGTTTGCCACATGGGAGTCCAGCAACATAACCACTACACCATCTGCTGGTCCCCCAGCATGAGTTTCTTTCTTTTTTTTTTTCCAGAGATTTTAGCTCTAGGGCACGTGCACTCACCAGAGAGATGGGAGGGAGACAGACAGAAAGCAAGAAATCACTCCCCAGGGGGCAGGGCCATACCACAATCCCTTTTGCATTCTCCTCTTGGGATTCTGGTGTGAGTTTCAAGCTGCCAGATCTGGGATTCAAACCACAGTTTGCCATGTGGGAGTCCACCGACATAGCCACTACATCATCTGCTGGCCCACCCCAGCATGATTTTAAACTGCTGGATCCAGGACTTGAACCGTGCAGTCAGCCACATGGGATCCAGCTGTCTTACCCTCTGTACTATCTTCTTGCCCTCGGCCCTTGGTTTTAAAGACCACGGTTCAAGTCCTGGACCTGGTGGCTTTTTTCTCACTTTCCACCCCCTCTCTCTGTCTGTCTCTGTTCAAATTAAAAATAAACGAGTGAAAAAATAAAAATAAAAAAGAACACCTTTTAGTAGCACTTTACAGATACTCTTCTTAGGAGGAGAACTTATAAGTAAATAAGTTCTGCCTACGTCTTGTCTAAAATAATGAAAATTTTAAAAAATAAGTTGCAAGATAGCGCTATATCCCAAAGTAATGAGGGGAGAGACTTGGTAACTAGTCTGGACTTAATATATTTATTATTATTTTTAACTCTTTTAGTTGTAAGCTTAAAAAACCAGTCCTACAGCATGGCAGAGGTGGTTGAAGATAGTAACACGCCATCGGAGGATGAAGAAAGCGATAGTGATTGAGATGTGGGTCAGGTCCTGAAGAGCGGCCAGGAGACTCCGAACAAAAATGGATATTGTCATGTGACCGAAAGTTAAGAAAGCAAGCACTGCCGCCAAGCATAGATTTCTAAGAAGGGTCGTCTGTGACACTGAGATCGACGACAGTGGAAAAATCGTAGCCAGTTGGAAAATAAGCTGATGATTCTAACACTGTGACAGGAGGGTGGAGGCAGGGTCTGGAGACAGGGACAAACAGTGCTGGTCTGACCACACCCAGCTCATGCTGTCTGTCCCCGTCATTGCCTCTCGCATCATCCTGACACATCGAGTGTGAACGATAGAGTGCAAACTGTGACATTTGGGCAGTGGCTCATGCTGCCTGGAGCTGGCCCACCTGTCATCCGGTGCACGGTGCAGGGCTACAAGCCTGATCCCCTGCCTGCAGCCGAGGTTTCCAAAGTCTTTGGAGTGTCTGCTCAGCAACTGCTTAACCGCCTTTTCAACCTGAATCAGCCCAGATTCCACATAACCACAGACGTGAGCTAATGCTTTTAGCGATCTTAAGATACTGTCACCTACTGAATGGAAGTTTGCTTCTTGCTAAGAGAGAGTCTAAGGATAAAAGGGAGAGTGTGTTAGCAACGCCAGCCAGACCCAGGGCTTTCTGGAGGTGGAGATACTAGGTCCACACGAATCTCTGCACCTGCGGAGTCCTGGCAAATGGGACAGAGGTGTTCTTTTTTAGTGCAAATTTAACAGGGCCTGTGTGGTGTCAGGAGGTGACCCTCAGAACACTCAGAAGTGATGATCCCTGAAAATATTCATGATCCCTTCCCTGAGGAAGACTGTAGCACCTGGAGTCACCAAGGTTTTTGGAGGATTGTGTGTGTGCGCGCGTGTGTGTACATACACGTGCATACACACGTAGTCATTACTGCCAAAGTATAGGATTGTGTGTGTGTGTACGTGTGTGTGTATGTGTGTACATACATATGCATCGACATGTAGTCATTACTACCTAAGTACACGGTTTTCCAGAGGCTGGCTTTTCATACTTTGGATTTCTTGGTTCATGAAAAAAATCAGAAAAGTGAGCTCCGGGGAAACTGAAAACCTTGCGTTACCTCCTCAGTATTGATTTGTCAGCTCCCCCCAGAAGTGGTAAAGAACATCATCGGAATGTGACTATTGAGTGACTGCCCCGAGACGTTTATTCTTTTTTACATTAGAAGCACAGATACCCAAGTTTATGTACGTCCCAGTTATATTCGAGTGGTGACCACCTGAATTAGGTAAACTCTTATGAAGCTGGCCCGGGATCAGGTTTCGATCACTCTGTCTCTCAGTTTCCTCATCTGTAAAATGAGACATTCCACCCGTTGCATGACCCAGCCTCACCTCAGAGAGGCGATGTCCGTAAAGTGGGACTGGGTTGGGCCTCTTTTTTCTGCACGCTGGCTTCATGATGGGTGGTCAGCCCCCAGTGCAAGGAGCTAGTGTCCTTGCTGGAGCAGAAGCGTGGTCTTGCTGCTACAGGGACTCCTAGGGGACTGGCAGGTCTCACACTGGCCCATAGGAGTAAGATGGTGACTTTCCTTTTTCCTGGCAAATTGTCAGGCTCTTCAGGCATTTTGAAGGTAGAGGTCTGACTCTCGAGCCTGCACTAACATCCTTAACCAGTGCCGGAACTTCTCCATGGAGCCCTTGCCCCTGTGGGTGCATGTTTCGGGTCGGGGCCGGCCTCCCATGATGCACTGGCTGCCTCGTGGCTACCTGTAGTTTATACTTGGTTGTGCCGAGTCTCTTTTGTAAAACCTAGCAAATTATAGCAGCAAGTAACAGAGCTGTACAAATGGTGAGAGCCTACTCTCAAAAGTGATAGAATGAAGTCAATTCCCTTGTATTCACAGAAGCTAAGAGAACATTCGGGGAGGAGGCTACATGTTAAATCTTTCTTTTCAGATATTTTAATTTTCTAATATCTGGAGTTCTAACATTTTATGGGACATAGGCCCATGGCTCTATAAACAATTAGCATTTAGTTTTCTTTTCTGTTCATTTGTACTGATTTAATGTTTCATGCAAATTTCTGACATACAAAGTGACCTTTCTTTTGTCTCTGTATACATCTAAAAATACATATTTTGTAAATGTCTTTTGCAGTATCAATAAAATTTCAGTGTGTGCACAGAAATGTTACTTTTTATGCTTTTTTTAAAATGGTATTTTCTCCGAGTACCAAGTGCGAAATGAATTTTTATTCACTGCGCTTTCTGGTGTGGCAAAAATGCCAGTGACAGCTGTCCGGGAGCTGGCGACACCGACCACCAATGGAGTTGACCCTTGTGAACACCTCAGCTATGGATGGTTCAGGATGGCTGGATGGCTTTGTAGTGGAAGGCCTGTGTGTGCCACATACATCCCAGGGTAAACACAGAGGTGGCAGTCCTGGGGCAGTGGAGAGCAGGTACTCAAACATCCGTATTTTACTATTTAAAAAAATCAATCAAAGCAGAAATATCATCAGTTTTACATAGAAGAACAGCCATATTGATCACTGGCTTTAAGGAACACCCTTTTTGTTTTTATGCTAAAGACCAGATTTTATTTTTCCATTTCCTCAAAACTGAAATAGCGCACAGCGTAGTAACTTACACACAATATAAACCCATATGTGCAATCAGTATTCCAAAAGTGGTGATTTTAAGTTTCACTTTGGAAATCTTTAAAAACTTACACTCTTAAATGACCTTTATTCAAGTTATCAACAAACGACAAAAGGAACTAGTTACCTCAGAAAAATCTTCAAGTGAAAGATATCTCCACTCCTTCCACCTGGAAACTCTTATGAGAGAAACACTTGATTTGCCTTTCTAAAACTGGGCTACATCAGGGATCAGCAGTTTGCATGGTGCTGAATGCGCTGGACAACCCCATGTGGCCTACCATGGTTCAAATCCCAGACCTGGTGGCTTTCCCACTTTCTCTTTCTCTCTCTTCCTGGTCACATTAAAATAAAAGAATGAATAAATAATATAATTTTTTTTTTAAAACTGAGCTACATCACATAGTCTCAAGTTTCTTTTTATTTAAGGCAGTAACGCTGCAGTGCTCCTAGTTTGAGAAGACTATTCTAAAGGTAATATTGCTGCTCTCACCATAGGGAGGGCCTCCACTTAAATTGCATTTCAAGTGGAAGGAAAGGGGTGTGAGAGATCAAATGTTGCTGCAGACTGAAATTATTCTACGAATGCAGAAATGGTAACAGCTTATCAATTCAGCAAGGCTTAACAAAAGTACAGCCGGCCGGAGGGCAAATATCCACTTTCATTAGGTGATCAGAGTAGCTAAAGAGACAGTATCTGGGACAGTAGCCCTTCCAAATGACTGAGGTAAATAACTCCATGTTACATTATCACGTTTCAATCTGATACTGTATTCAGGATATATCAACCTCCTCCTGAAGTGGCAGCCCATTCCTCAGTTTCTTTCAAGCACAATTTAGAACATGTTCAAACATTTTCTTCCTTCATCAGTCAGCACTTAGTTTAAACTCAATTTACTTTGGACAGACAGACCCACCCAAGCAGGAACTTAGACTGTTTGTATTGAGACGTCAATATGCAAAAGAAATCATTCCAAGACCATTTTTAAGATCAATCTCACTATTTTTATTGTTCTGCTGGTACCTTAACTATGGCATAACGGGTCTGCTAATTCAAAAGGCCATAGAGTCAGTAACCCCAGTGTCACCTGCAGACCATCTGAGATGCTTTTTGATACTCAAAAGCCTTGTCTTGTATTCTGTTGTTTGCTCTGAAAACACGGGCTTCGAATGGTCAAGGGAAATGTTTCATCTCATCATTTAGGAGTACTCGACATGGCATGTAGCACTGCAGGAGGGACAGAACGCAGGCAAGATGTTCCAACACAGCCTCGTCCTGCAGGAAATGCACTTGGTGGTTCATCTTTAAAAATGGCAGGGCAGTCCTGATACCTGGGGCTCTCCTTTAGGACAGTGTCCTGTGTGGTTGTCCGTGGCCACGGGCCCTCTTTCCAGCCAGTCCCACACCAGAGCTTCCCTGACACCACAGGGTACCCCAGCAAAATGGTCTGCAGGGACAGAGAGCAGACCTGGAGACTTACTCAGAACAGCTGCTGAAGCCGTTTTTTGGGGGTTTTTTGTTTGTTTACTTGTTTGTTTTTCTGATTCGTTCAAATGTGGAAGCACTTTGTGGCCATTACGAAGTGAGAGGTCAGCCTCACTCAGATCATTTTTCATTTCCCAAAATGCTTTATTCTGTGGATTTCCATTTACATCAACAGAAGCTGATTGACCCAGGCAGGCCTATCTGCTGGATGAGGACTCTTCCGTGTTCTTTTCTTAGGGCTCTAATAGGAGTGGGTCCGAGTCATCTCCTCCCTTCACCCGTGCAAGACAGGTGCCCAGAGCGTCTCCTGCATCCCTCGTGCTTTGCGTCCTCTGATGCGGTGAGCCTGAGGCCAAGCCTTGGTCAGTCAAGGGAAAGCCTTCGATGGACTTCAATATGAACCTGCGGGCGCACGTCGAACGTCTTGGACGCCATGACGTAGAGGTAAGGGAAGTTGATGCGCAGTCGCCAAGCCAGGTCGAAGAAGATGAGGGGAGAGCGAGTCAGCCCCTTGCAGAAGACCCCCTAAGAACGCCCAGCGGCTGAGCACGACAGCAGGCCCCACAGAGCCCGCCATATAGAGACTGGCCACGACCCGCCCTCCCTCTCCGCGCCACGTCTCCCCGGGTCTGCGCCCCTGGGCGCAGGGAAGCAGAGTCCGGGGTCAGCCTCGAGAAGCACCCCCTGCGAGCCGCCACCTGGTCCCAGCCGGGCCGCGGGCCTTGACCTGAACACCCTTTATTGAAGTATGACGTGCCCCTTACTAAGAACTTGCCTGCAGAATGGTGGCAGTTGTTTTGAGTTTTTCGCCCCAGGGCGCATCTGCTCACCGGAGAGAGACAGACACAGTGAGAGGGAAAGTGAGAAATGACCCCCCAGGGGCATGGCCGTGCCGCAATCCCGTCTCCTCCCGGGATCGTGGGCACACACGCGCACACACCCAACGTGAGTTTCAGGCCACTGGGTCGGGACTCAACCACAGCAGGCCATGTGGGACTCCAGCGATGAACCAGTCCGCCATCTGCTGGCCCCGGTGGCAATTTTTATTCAGCCGTCCCTCGCCCTCAGCCTTCTTGCTAGGTCAACTGTTTGCTAAACAAACTTTTTTGGTTTTGTGATCGCCTAACTTTAACAAATACCTGTTACTTTTCCCACCTGGAACCCCCATCCAATTAAGCATCTCTAAAAAAATAACAGTACTATAAACATCTAAATACATTTTTTTTTTCTTAAGAAAAAAAATCGGGAAGAAATAACCACAAATATTGCTTACAAAAATAAATTCATCACAGTTTTGATTTGACTACAAGAGACAGAGCTGGTTACTCAGGATCTTCCTCTGGTGGGACAACTTCCATCAGCATCTGGAGGTGCATGGTGACAGGCTCTGGAACACACGATCAACAGGTGAGGTTAGAAAGAAACGTCATCACAAAGCTTCGCCCCGGTCGTGATGGGCAGAGCGTAATAATGTTCTTTCTCTTTGGTAATGTCACCTGGTAGACCTTGACTCGGGATGGTGTATGCTTTGAGTTCATTTAAACCACCCTGAGTATTTCCTATTAAGGAATGAATAAATCTCTAGGACCAGTAGTTGGTGTAATGGCTATGTCGCTGGACTCCCATGTGGTCGACCACGGTTCGAGTCCCAGACCCGGTGGCTTAAACTCACACTGGGCGTGTGTGTGTGCATGCCCATGATCCTGAGAGGAGAATGGAGGAGAAGGGATTACGTTGTGGCCATCCCCCCCCCGCGGGGGGATTTCTCGCTTTCTGTCTCTCTCTCTCTCTTTCTGGCGAGTGCAATCGCTCTATGGCAAAAACCTCTCAGAAAAAAAAAAAAAAAAAGAATTACTAAATCCCTCATTGCCACCAGTGCCCACTGTAGGAAAAGTATCAACAACTCCCTTAAGCGTATGTATTCACTGCTCCTGACCGGGAGGTGACTAGTCTGAAGTCACTCAGACTGCATTTTGTTGGAAGTACAGATTGTTCTTTTCTTATCTTTTTTTTTTCCATTCTCTTCACACAACTTCCAGTTTCTGTAGGGAGCAGCTTAGCAAAGTATTCTAGAGCTAAGAAGACAGGTTTTGTACAGTAGGTCACAAGTCATCCGAGCTAGTCTCTGCGTGTGAAACCCAAGTTCCTTTACAGAGGCACGGGAAAGATGGCTGTTTATCTCATGCTAGTAACTTTTCTTTCCACAGAAGGGTGCCCACAACCCCTCTCTCTCTCTCTCGGTTTAGGGTTGATGTATTTTGGCACAAGTGCTTCCTTTTAGAAGTGAAAGTGGCTAACGTCCCTCAGCTTTTAAGCAGTTGTCCTAAATCATCCTAACGCAGATGAGGATCGGGATTGCCCAGTAGACAGTGACACCTGCGGCTTGGCTTTGGAAGGCTCCGGACTTCATCCTAACCCTTGGGTCCCAAGTCTGTCCGTTTTTGGGTGTTTGGGGGAGGCTGGCTGACCTAA